TGCTGCCCGGCTGCTGCAGCCTGGAGCCCAGCCCGTCCCGCAGCCCCTCCGGCAGCGAGGCTCCAAGGTGTGGGGGAGAAAGGGCATTTTCCGGGCTGTTTCAGCAGCTGCTCCCACGGGATCCTTGTTCTGGGAGCGGGGCCGGGGATCCAGGGTGGCTTTGGTGTGTTCAGTCAGGGGAGACTCCTCTCCGTCTGTCCTGCAGAGCTTTTGGCCGGGTCAATGTCCCAAGGAGGCTGCGATCAGGGTAGCAGTGGAAAGGGAAACTGAGGTACGGAGCTGGCCAGTGATCCGTCTCCCCACGCTCCTGCTCGGTCGTGTCGCTGCTCCCCGTGGGGGTGGGCTGGGCTCAGGGGCAAAGCTGCCCGGTCCCGGGGGGCTGGGGCCGAGCCCAAGGTTTGGGATGGCTCTAGGGCACCGCCGGCTCTCCCTGTCCTCCCCCAGCTCTCTCGGCTCTGTCCCCACCCTCTGCTGGTGTCCCGGTGGGGGCGGCAGGAGGGGCCGAGGGAAAATTTTTCAGGGTTTTCATGGCTTTTTCCAAGCGATCAGCCCCAGTGTGAACCCCAGATCCACCGTGGGGTGTCCCAGGGAAAGGGAATTTTATTGCAGTCCCCTTCCCCTCCCGCAGCCGGAGCGTTTCATCCCCGGGATGAAGGGGCTGCCCTTGAGCATCCCTGCCAGGGACCGCTGCTCCTGTCACGCCGACTTCTCCTATCTCAGCCCAACCCAGAACCTGTTGCTCTTCCTTTTGGCTGCCCGGGGGGTGGGAGAAACCTCCCTCTGCCCCAGCCTGGAGCCTTTTTCCAGCTTCTGGGCTCAGGCGTGGCAGGGAGAGGATGAGCAGGATGCTCCAGCGCTGCTTTTCAGGGAACGGCTTTAGACTGGGGGAACTGGGAGATCGGGTGATTTTGTGCCCTGAGGGGGAAGAGGCGAATTTGCTGGTGAGCGGCAGCGGGGCTGGGTCCCACTTGAGCTGCGGTGCTGAAATCGGGGACTCCCATTCTCCGCCCCACACTTCTGTTCCACCTCGTGCCTCAGTTTCCCCAGCAGAGCCGGGGAAGGCGGGGACGGGTGTGCAAACCTTTCACGTGCTCGTGTGACACACTTACCCAGGGGTACACGTGCTCGTGTGTCCCCGGCGGCTCCTGCCGGCTCTGCTCACCCCTAGCTCCTCTGCGCGGGACCGAATCTCCCCAGGGACCCTCCCTGTGCTCTCCCGGACCCCCCTGCAACAAGGAACCCCTTTCTCCCTGTTGGGGGGAGGGGGCGAGGGGTTCTGGCAGCCGGAGGGACCCCCCCTTCTCCCCACCTGCTTCCGGCCTTTTAAGCTGTGCCAGCAGCCGCTGCCAAGAGGCTGCGGGGCGCTCCCCGCGCCCCCCTGAGCGGAGCTGGCGTGTGCCCGGCACGGCCCCGCTCCGGGGACCCCCGATGGCCCCGCGGGGACGGGTCCTGGGCAGCTCCGGGGGGACGGACACGCGCGAGCCGGGGCTGTGGCTCTGTCCCCCGCAGCGGCGTGGCCGGAGCCCTTTGCTGGTGCCGATGGGGCTGGAGCGGGGCCAGGCCGTGCCGGCGGCTGCTGACTCATTCTGCAGCTGAGCATCCCTGGAAAGCCACCGCTCCCCCCTCCTCCAGCTCGCTGCGGGCTGCCAGGGCACCTTGGGAGCCGGGATGAGCAACCATCAGGGGACGAGGGGCCGCGGAGCAGAAAATCCCTCTCCGGAGATGAAAAGGGACACCCCCCGGGCATCCACTCGCAGCATGTCCCGCCTTGAGCCTTCACCAGGTGATGCAGCCCCAGATCCTGCAGGTCCTGCGCTCAGCTCTGAAAGCAGGGCCGAGCCCAGGGGAGAAAGGAAGATCAGTGCTGTCCTAAAATAGACTTCAGCTCCATTTTCCACCTGGTTTCCCACAGAAATGGAGGTTAGCTGGCCCTGCCACGTGCGTGTGTGCCTGTGCGTCTGTGTGATCCCGGCAGCTTCTGAGCTCTGAGCTCTCTGGGACAACTGAGCCTCACAAGCTGCTGCCATTATAACCATTCAACCTTTTTTGGCTGCCCTTCCGTAGTCCTGATCCCAGTTTTTCCTTCATAACTTGTGGGTTGAAAGATTTTCCATTTGTGGAAAACAGGAAAAATACTCATTGCAAAAATCCAACCCCAAACCCCAAAGTTGACGTCTGAAAGTCTCTTGCCAGCATGGGACTCCAGGAGCTCAGGCCATCACCCATGGGCAGGGTGAAACTGGCTTTAACCCTTTCCATACCCCATTCCCAGTGCCAGCACACAGGTGCAGTCAGGGGTGGGCACAGGAGGGAAGCAGACACTCCAGCTTGACCAATTCCTGTGGAGTTTTTATCACTTGGATTTCCTCCCCGGGGCTTCGGGGCTGCTGTCCGCGCCGCCGTGGCGCCTTTGGGGACGGGAAGAAAAGGTGCCCGTGACAAAAGCCTTCCTTGCTTGGCTGCCCAGGGGGTGGCACCAGCCTCTGCACTGGAGCCTGGCCACGGCTGCCATGCAGGAGGGTTTTGTCCCTTGGTCCAGAACCATGGGGCTGCATTCAAAATATCCGTCCGGAGCGCAGAAAGGCCCTGGCTTGGCGCTGGCACCACTGGCCAGGCCCTGGGCAATCGAGCTTTGGCTGCTCCTGCCAAGCTCCTGCTGGACAGGGGACGTCTGTGGTCTGCAAGGGATGCTCCATTTCCACACTGTGGTGCCAGGGGCTTTAAACCCACCGAGTTTTGTGTTAGGGGCTGTCCATGCTTAGTGCCTTGTGCTGCGGGCTGTGCAGCCACGGTGTGCGGTGCCAGGGAATGCACGCGGTGTGCGCTGCCAGGGCTGGGTGTCCGTGGTCCCAGGGGGAGTGTCCGTGGTTCCAGGTGCTGTGCACCCATACTGTGCCTTGCCAGGGCTGAGTGTCTGTGCTTCCAGGGTGAGTGTCCGTGGTTCCAGGGGGAGTGTCCGTGGTTCCAGGGGCTGTGCATCCACACTGTGCCCTGCCAGGTCTGGATGTTCTTGGCATGGGGTGCCAGGCTTGTATGAACGTGGCTCCAGGGGCTCTACAGCCATGGAAATTTGTGCTGGGGGTGCGTGCACAGTGTTTTCTGCCCAGAGCTGTGTTCACATCTTCTCCCCAGGGCAGGGGTCCCCTGGGCACACTCTGGCTTGAAGAGGGATGCAGGTGACCAGGACAGAGTCCTGTCAGGCTGTCCCTGGCAGCCAGTGACTGCACACGGAGCTGCCTAAGCTGCTCCTGTGGCTGCTGAAATCAATACAGCACAAAGAGCTCATAAATCACAAAGCTGCTCTGACGTGCTCTGTTCCCAGGCAATGGCACGATGCACCCCTGACACAGGAGGCTGAGGAGCCTCCAGCCCCCCAAGGAGCCTCTGCAGATCGGTGAGGGGGTATTGGAGCAGTGCATCCACCAGGGACATTTCCTCACATTCCCAGCATCAGCATCCTCTCTGGACAGCTGCAAGAGCAGCAAGACTGCAAGGGCAGCTTGGGTCCCCCCTGAGGTGCCCATCACCCCAGTGCTGCTCCCTGGAGAGGGCTGGGGGCTGGTGCTGGTCCCTGGGCTCTCCTTTCAGCCCACCGGTGAGAGCCCTTTGTGCCAGGCAGCCTGAGAGAGGCCTGGGACATAATGGCAGCTTTGGTCAGCCTCGCTTTTCCCAGCCCGTGCGCGGGAAGCCTCCGGCGTGAGCTGAATGGCAAAGAAGCCGTCCTGCTCCTTCCCTCCCCCTCTGCCCCGTGCTTTGTGTGCTCCGGGCTGTCCCCCCGGCTGCTCGCTGACCTCAGCTCCCTCCACCAGCCACCCCTGGCAGGGCACACGTGCGCAAGCGCTCGCACACGCGTGTGCACACCTGCACGTGGGCGGTGGCACGAGCACACGCGTGTGTCCCGCTTGCTTCTTCACCTCCCTCGCCACCTCCTTCCTGACCAAACCCTTGCCGAGGTTTCCTGACCAAACCCTTGCCGAGGTTTCCTGACCAAACCCTTGCCGAGGTTTTTCACGGTGGCACCGTGGGGACATGGCCCCGGCGCTGGCATCGCCTCCCTGCCCACGGCAGCCAGCGCTCGGGCTGAGCCTGTCTGCGCTCTCCGGGCCAGGCTGGACTCTGCTGTCCCCAGGGGACCCGGCTCCTGGGGAAGGTCAGAGGGCTTGGATGGCACCCAGTGGCTCCCAGCCAATGGTCCTGGTTGCTCATGTTGTCTTCTCCCTCTTGTGAACCAGGGCACGTTGATTTCCCTTCCCTCTCCCCTCCGCTGTGCCCAGGTCACCCTGCGGCCGTGCCTGGGCTCCCCTCTGTGCCCCAATGCAGCACACATCATCCCATCCCCCACACACACAGACTGGGGGCTCTCCCCAGCCGCTCCCCCTCATGCAGGGATGGGAGATTTTTGATGCTTTGATGGATTCTAAGAGCAGCTGGTGGTTTTTATTCCCCCCTTGCAGGGCAGAGCATGGCCCCAGCCCTCCCACTGCTGCTGCTGCTCTGGGTCTTTGTCCCCACAGTGGTCCCCGAGGGGTTTGGCCTCGGAGATGGCACAGGTAACTCGGCATCATCAGCCACATTTCTGTACTCCCTGCCCCGTTGGTGCCCTGTACTGGGGGTCTCGGGGGGGGGCCTCACCCCAGTCCTGCTCACGGCTCCTCTCTTCTCCCACCCAGAGGACCTCAAGGCTCTGCAGGTCTCCATCCCACGCCACCCAGCCCTGGACGCTGTGCTGGCAGGCGACATCACCATCCCCTGCCTCATCACCTACCTTGGCCCCCAGCCAACCGCTGGCATGGGCGGCCGCCGGGCAGTGCTGGGAACCCCCCGGGTCAAGTGGACCTTCATCTCTGAGGGCAGGGAGGTGGAGATCCTGGTAGCTCGGGGGGACAGGGTGAAGGTGAGTGAGGACTATCGGCTGCGCGCCTCCCTGCCCATCTTTCACCAGCGCTACACCAACGCCTCGCTGCTGCTCACCGAGCTGCGCCCCAACGACTCGGGGATCTACCGCTGTGACGTGCAGCATGGCATCGAGGACGGCCACGACATCCTCGATGTCAAAGTCAAAGGTACTTCAAGGTGGGGAGCGGTGGGATTCGGGGCACGCCGGGGCCCTCTCCCGCTCAGCAAATTCTCCCCTGGGTGCATCTGCACCCACATGGGTGGGGGCTGCTGTGAAGCCCCTTCCCATGGCCGTGTCTGCCCCCAGGGGTGGTGTTTCACTACCGGGAGGGCTCCATGCGCTATGCCTACACCTTTGCCGAGGCGCAGGAAGCTTGTGCCCGGATCGGCGCCAGCATCGCCACCCCCGAGCAGCTCTACGCCGCCTACCTGGGGGGCTACGAGCAGTGCGACGCCGGCTGGATCGCCGACCAGACCGTCAGGTGGGCACCGCAGCTGCCCAGCCATTGTGGCCTCACCCAGACATTCCCCCGCCAGTCACCAGCCCTCCCCTGTGCTTTCCTGCCCCAGGTACCCCATCCAGACTCCCCGTGAGGCCTGTTACGGGGACATGAACGGCTTCCCCGGGGTGAGGAACTACGGAGTGGTGGATCCGGAGGACATGTACGATGTGTACTGCTACGCTGAGGACCTCCCAGGTGCCTGTGGTGCCACCAGCCACCTCTTGCCCTCCTCTGCTTTTGCTCCCACACTAACCTGCCCCTGTAACTTATTGTAAACCTAAGTGAAAAAGCTGCCCCTGAGCTGCAGGTGCTGTCTGTCAGGTGCGGGGACTTGCTGTGCCGCTTCCTAAAGCATTCCTGGTTGAGTTTGGTGGGGTGTGGGGCTCTGTCTCTTGCAGCAGGTGGTTCTCAGGCTGGGGTGTGCCCATAGGGATCTGCCCCAGACCAGCAGCATGCTGTGTTAGCTGGTTTGGGGTTTGGTTGTGCACGTGCCGTGCTTTGCACAAGATGAAGGGCTGCAGCTCCTGCCCGGCCATGTGTGCCTGGGGGTGGCAGGTCCCTCCTTTGGGTCCCAGTGGGGCTCCCCACTGGTGGTGGCACTGGTGGGGTTGGTTGAGTGGTGCCAGGCAGGGAACAGGGAGGAGGGACAAGTCCCTTGTGTGTAGGGGACGATGACTGGGACAAGGCTGCAGCGTGAGGGTCGATACGCACCTTGGGGCACTGATCCCCAGCTCTCCTCAGTGTGAAGCCTCACCACAGCGTTCACTGGTCTTGCAGGTCTCCTTTAGAAATGTCCCACACACAGATTGCTCAGTGCAGGGTGTGGATCTGCTCCTCTGCAGTCCCTTCATGGGTGCTTCAAAGTGTCAGGTCTGTTAGCAAGGGCAGGAATCAATCCCATGCTGTGTGGGAGCTCTAGCTGGGCCTGGGCTGTGGCTTTCTGTGCACGTGCAGGAAGGCAGGGAAGCAGGCAGGGATGCAGGCAGGAAGGCAGGAAGGCAGGGATGCAGGAGGCAGGAAGGCAGGCAGGGAAGCAGGCAGGAAGGCAGGGATGCAGGCAGGGATGCAGGCAGGGATGCAGGCAGGAAGGCAGGCAGGGATGCAGGCAGGAAGGCAGGGAACGCTGTGGTGAG